CGTCTCATTTTGTCCAGAAATCTTTCCTCTATTTGAATAAACTAATGATAAGAAGTTCAATTATATTTGTACATAAGAAAGTCAATAAATACACGAGGGTAAGTTTTTTTTGGATCACCCTGTAAATTAAAATCATTAAGCTTTCCTTAACAAGTAAATAGTACGAATGATTATCATGATCAATAACTTCAAAATTTCTTCAATCAGTTTTGTATCCTGTTCCACTTTCATGCTTTGCTAAGACGATTAAGCTCTTTTATCATCCTCACTACTTGTAGAATTTCCATTGGTAGTTGTTGAGTTTAATTGTGGAACGAACAGTTGCGTGTTATTGCTTTCAGTTGTCTGGGGCATTCTTAACTGTTTATCACGTAAGTTAAAAGTTAAAGTTAAAATATCTCAAATATCAATAAGTGTAGAATGAGACAGAAAAGCACCGTACAATAACGAAGTAAAATAGCGTTCCTTCGGGTTCGATTATCACGTGACCGAGACAATATTAGACTGCAGATGTTTTGGTATTTTGTCTTTTTAAATAAGACAAAATACCAAAATATCTTTTTGCACAACTCACTTAATTAGAAAGTTAGAACCTAAATTAAATTGCAAAAGTCACTCGGTTCCGATGATCATCTTTCCGAAAGATATAATCCGGAAGAAGGAAAGAGATAAAAATAAAAAAAATGTGATGGTTAAGATGATATAGACTATACACTCATATGTAACAATGTCAATCCTATTCTCTTTTTTTCTTTCTTATTCTTTAGCTTATTCTAGTTCTCGAATAGATTAGAAAGTAAAAAGAGAAAAATAGTAAGAAAATAATAGAAAGTACAAGGACTGCGCAACATGTATATATATATAATTTATCTCACTCCGTTTAGACCTTGTATTTTTATACCCTTGATAATGATTTTTAAATAAATTGAAGCGTCGGAATTTAAAATAAAATAAAATCATTCACACCACTGCTGTTGCTGTGCTTTTTCTATTATAAAAACTAACCATTTTGAATTTCTCCAATTGTGGATTTGATTTTAAGAATCGTAGAAATTCATCAGTATTTTTCAATGAATATTTACTATTACGTAGTGGATTAATGATGTTTGCAATCGGAACACCTGTTTTATGAGTTTCTAGAAGATCGCATAATCTGGCTGGTATAGATCCAACCAGTCTGATACTTTGATGTTCTTGTTCTGTTATATAATTATCGGTTTTCATTTCTCTTAATAGTGTTATTAATGAATTTTCATATGTAATTGTCCATTAGTTTCTTAGTAGTTTCCAGATTGCTGAAAATCGGCCTATTCAAAAGTTCAATCAGATCGGCCGATCCATTACCGCTTTATCGATCCGATTTCAACTCTGGAACGAGTAATATAAATAGATTTATCATTCATTAAATTTCTCAATATTTCATCATATTCATGAGACTCGAATTAATTCGACATTGTTGTAAGATAAAAATAATTTCTCTGTTACGCTTTTTAAATCAGAAGCTAATGCTAGTTGTTTCTGTTCGAGTATACGTAGCTTTTTGGCTAATACCACCGAGTAATAGCCTCAGCCCCATTTTGTAAAGTCTATAAATTCATTATGTATTCTAGATCCATGCTGAAATAAGCATTCATTATTTGAAATAATTTTATCACGATTAACTTTATGTCGACGCAAATAATTTGATCCTTTATTTAATACGTTAAACTCAGCAGGAGTAAATGTCATTGAGATAAGTTAGTAACAATTAGGGGTGTGGTACGTTCTTGTTTTACCCTGAAAAGTAACGGTTTTCCGTTACTAGTTATAGTAACAGGTAAGGAAAATCCGTTACTAGATCTATAAAAAGCAGTACTAGACCGTAGACTGATAACTTTAGAAGTCTTCAAAGACTTCAGAAAACGAAAGACACTCAAAAATATTTCTAAGTTTGATATTGAAGAATCGATTACAGAAGCTTTCCAGAGCCCTTGAATGCCTTCCGAAGCTTGCGATACTGTGCAACCTTGTGCTGACCCCGTGAGTGGTGCTCTGCGATGCTAAGAAAATAGTCCAATGCTGAGGGATGTTCTGCCGTGCGGAGCGACGTTAAGAATAAAACATCTAGCGAAACCAAATGGAATAACGTGAGAATGTGGTACTCGCGGAAGAAGCAAAGGGTAGACAGATGATTTAAATCAGCCCAAAATCAGTCGAAAATCAGCCAGAATAAATAGGTAGTTTTACAGGTAGTCACCCAGAACTAGGTAGTTTTACAAAATGATCGGGAATCATTTTAACGGGTCTAATTTCGGCTGTCAGATCCAAAAGACTAATACTTTCGTAGTCAATCGAACATCATTTTTAGAATCGTTTTTGATGCTAAATCAGAAAAAATTAGTTTGAAAACTTGACACGATGGATAAGGAAAAACAGTTTAATTTTTTTAGAAATTCAACTCTTGAAGTGTTTTTAATTTTTCTGTCTTAAAATAATGTTTTGAAGCGCTAAAACTAAGTTTTTCTTGCCCTGTTCAACGTGCTTTGTCCAACCATACATAATTTAACCGAAAAAAAATAGTACCCATCTTCTGCATTTTCGGCACCATACTATATCTCTACTAAAGAAGTTTTACTATAAGTCGTTCTTCAGATCATTCGGCTGCTATTTTGCTTCAGCAGTATAACTGCCACATAGAAACTATAGAAATATTTTCCATTGTACGATTGCTATAATGCGACTAAAATGCAAACACATTGAGTGTACCAAGATTAAATCAAGAAACAAATGCATAATGTATTTTAATACGGTTGGTTAGTTTCTCCAGAGATCGATTTCGTAGATGACCAATCGTTCTTCGGTTAAAATAGTCAACTCTTATCTAAAAGTACGTACCGTGAGAGTGTTGATAAAAAAATTGACGATATTGGAAAATACGAGAATGCAGAGTACAAACACGACAGAAAAGCGAGCTGTTCACAATACTCGGCCGGAAAAACTTGATCACGGTAGAGAAAGATTAGCAGAATGGGAACAGTTGCCGGGCAGGAAGAAGGCGACCTTAACAAAGAGCTAGAATGCGGGCAAAAGAATCAGTTGCTGATTTTTCTGCTGTAGTAAGCAATGATGTGTCATTACTCGAGTTTTTTGTACACAAATTTGTTTAGCGTTCTTCAGTGTTAAGTAGGAGAAAAAAGTCATTAATCCCGACACTATTAAGCCGATTAAGACTGTCCCGCGGAAATTGAGAAATAAATCATAGGATAACAATACATAAAAGAATCTACAGTAAAATCTCTATTAGTGAACACCTCTCTATAGTGAACACCTCCCATTTTAAACAGGGTCTCGGTCCGACGGAGCTATTTTTGCTGGAAATGCACCTCTCTAATGTGAACATCTCTCTATTCTGAACATGAACACTTCTTTACGGTCCCTCTAACTACCATAACCTCTCTAATGTGAACACACGTGCAATGATTTTTTTTATCTCTATCTACTATCTATCACCTTTCTCTTACGTGTCGCGATTGATCATACTCTCTCACGGACAAAAAAAGTACATTTTTCTATTCGCTTGTTCTCCTCTATATTTTATTATTATATTTTCATTTGCATATCCATGGATACAGCATAATTTAAACTACATATATATATATCTATGAAGTCCATTTCACTCGCTTATTGTTTCGGATTTCTTCGGCATAAACAAAAATGTCTCATTTCCGTGATATTGAACGAATACAAATAATAATTTATACTATAATAAGATATGAAAGTAGATCAAGAAAAGATGATAACTCGGACGAGACAGAAAAGAAAAAGACAGACAACAATAGAAGATTTTTTTGTACAAAACTCAATCCTGTGTTGTATTCGAAGATTTTTTCAACTAAAAGATATTTAAATAAAAAGAGATGAACAAGAGAATGAATAGCTCTTATTTCACTCAGGACTAGTGTAGAAGCAGACATTCTGAAATTTTTTCTTCATTTTGCAGCAAAACATGCGTCACCCCTCTAAAATGAACACCTCCCATAGTGAACACTTTTTGAACGGTCCCAATGGTGTTCACAATAGAGAGGTTTTACTGTAATTCCCGATTCTGTGTGACTAACATGTATTCGATTTAGCAGATGGTGACGGGCGGTATAAGACTTTATTCCATAAAAATGTAAAAATTCGTTTAGTTCGTTTCAATCTATCTTAGCTCCTGTGAACACACTTCGTTAACTTATACGGTGCATGCATACATAAAATAGTGTAGTAATTTGTATAATAACATAAAACTTAAATTTAATTTTGAATTTCTTGAAAAAATTATAATCTTTATAAAACATCTAATTCATCAAATTATTGAAATAAACTATTTTCTATCATATTTGAGTGTGTCTGTACAAAAAGTTACGATTAGAAAGAAAAAAAATTTCTTTAATATTGAAGAAAATTGAAAGATAATTTAATAGGTTTCTGGAGATTTTCTTGAAATCCATTGGAAATCTCTAGACGTCTTGAATATTCAATGTGTTATCATAACTGTGCTTTACTACAGTATTATTATACGAAGCTTCGGAAGAAATTAGTGCTATACATCAACAATTATAAGAGTCTCGCTGAGAAATGTAAAAGAGGCATGCTAATTGTGATATACGTGGTAATTGGTCAAGGACGGAATAACCCTTGTGAAATTTTTGAGTGATTCGACCCCTTTAGTTATTACACGTAGCATTACGCAAAGTTCTTTTTTTAAGAACTTTTCATAACTAATGGAGATCTATTTTGGCTTGACATTATGCTATTCTTCAGAAATATTCCACAGGGCTTGCGCTAGATAAGAAGTGACAGAAATTCGATGACTGTAGTCTTTCATCCATTTATATATCTACAATGGCAAATATGATGTTTATTTATCTGGATATAAATTAAGACAAAAAGAGAAAGTTTAACGATAAAAAAAATGTCAGAATATATAATCTTTTTAAATTAGTCAATCCGTTTCGAGTATTTTCAGAACAATTTAATTACCTCCGTTTGGGTTTCATATTGACTTCTGGCTCCATATTCCAATCAGTCGGATTAAAATATTGAGCGGTTTTTCTATATGTCCAATAAGGTGTTAACCAAAATGTAACTAATATTAAACCGAATAATGTATTACACAACAATAGAAATGGTATTTGTTTTACATTTGTCCAATTTGTATAAATTTCATATACATAATGTAATTCATAAACCGTACGAAAATGAAAAGCATAAATCAATAACCCCTGATTTATTTTCCATACGTAAGACTTTTCTAATTTTAATTTTAATAAACACCAACATACACATGAAAATGGTGTACTAAATTCAAGATTAAAACCTCTTATTGCATAATAATGACCGCGATTATGATAAATCGTTAAAAAAGCACCAAAAACTGCCACTAAATGATGCAGATGAAGTTCTTTTGAGAGTGTTTTATATCTTATATCAAAATAGATTAATGTCGATTCTTCAAAAATGAAAAATCCAAAACCAATACAAACAAATAACCATGATTCACCTGGTGATGCAAATACACGATCAACCCCAAGTTGATCATCGAAGAATACTATCCGAATGCCTAGTAAAAAATTAAGCATCTTTGTAAATATGAACTCACATCCATATAGGTTGCTCTTCTTGTAGCATTCAGGTTTAAGACTGGTTGAAAAGCATACATACCACAGAGCTAGAAAAACTTTTCTATTCAAAATCGCTGTTTTTCTGAAATTTTACACGTTCCACCCACTAAAATTTGTCTGTCTCTTTGCTTACTCAATCGTTAGGTCTGCAAACTTGTTTGGATTAGTAACTCAAGCTGCTATACTAAATTGCAGTATCAGAATCTGTTCATTCAAAAGTTTTGGATAGGTGTCAACAGACCCGGTACTACAGGAAGGTTTTAGAAAGGTGAAAATTACCCATAGAAAACTATGTCTTAATCTAACAGCTATGTACCACATAAAACGTTGCCTGGTTAGAAAGGTTGAGGTGATAGCAATTCATCCCTAGACCAAGCAAACCGGATTTTTTCTCTAGAAAAGCAATTTAGTCATAGATACGTATTAGGATCATTCCCACTAAACTTTAAGTACCATGCTCTTCTCTGCATAGCAGCGACGAAACTAACATCTGAAGTCGAGTATGTGATAAGAAGATGTTAGGAAGTATAAAATCCCATATTAACTGTGGTCATCTTTCAATACACATATTCGTCTCTTCACTCGATGGTTATTTTCCCTTTCTCTTCTTCTGTTATATGTATTCACTCTTCTGCTTTTGTATGACGTATGTTTTCTCTTTCTGTTCACTCTTTCCCATGGGTATTTTTCATTCCTATTCTTCTCTCTCTCTCTTGTACAATATGTGTTTTTCCCAGTTTTCCTACGAGATCTTCCGGTAGCTGAAATATACTATATATAGTTGTGAATCTACTGAAATAAAGTGTGTGTAACAGTTACATTCTTCTCTGGCTATTAACCATTGGATGCAAAACGATTCTGAAAGGAATAACCTCACAAAGATTAGAAGGATTAGAAAATCAGTATTACAATGAACAAATATTTCAGGATTTTGACTCGCGAAATATATATATAACATCGAATTGTCTTTTTCTGAATATTTCAACCTAAAAGACCTTTTCTGTTAGGATTATGATTTTTAAATGTTTTATAGTATCTCGGAATCAGACCAAGATACTATAATATTACAGTTTTTAAAACTGGTTTTAAAAATTTGAGTCTAAAGACAAAGAGGAATCGAAGTTGTATAAAATTCCTTCATAAGTTGCTGTATATATTAATCGATGCAGAATTGCCAGCTCTACAAAATAAATTAATATTTAGATTAGAGGTACAATACGTCACATTTTTATAAATAAAGTATTTGAAAAAATGTTGGTTTCGACAAATTGATTTTTATCTTCTTTTCTTTCTAATATTTGCCAACGTGACTTATTTTTGGGTTCGAATATGTGATTTTGTAGAGGAACCAATCTTTCTGTAAAATCAAATATAAAACATTATAGACGGTCGGCCGGTTTTGGAGAACATTGCAAAATACTGGTCTCACTGCAAAATCCTTACTTTTCAGAAATCGCGACAGTATTGAAGTGCCTATTTTTTGAAAAAAGCATTTTCAGACTGAAATATTTTGGACTTGTTTTATTAATTGCTCATTTTCTTAGCTGGACAATTAGAAACGAAAAACAAAAATTTTTGCTCTATCCGCGAAAAAGTGGGTCTCTTGGCAGATAGCTGCTTGGTGCAAGACCGGACTCAACATCGGTAGATTGTTGGTTCACAGTAGGCAATTTTGACTAGGCACTAGGACCTGTGCCATAGAAGTGATACAAAAGCCTGTAAATACTATTTTTATACGTTTCGCATGTACTCTTCCCAATGGTGGGATTCACAAAGTTCAAAAATACTTTTAGTCGAGTTTTCCAGGGATCCGATCTTTAGAGAACCCTGATAAAAACACGATTCAACTAGTAAATCATAGCATTGAAAAGAGTACATACGAAAACCTATAAAAATAGTATTTAGAGGCTTTCGTATCACTTTAATGGCACATGTTCACCTGCCCAGCCAAAATTCCTGCGGAAATTCTGCAAACTTGTCCTTTCATGAAAAAATCGAACGACTTTTTGCATTAACACATACAACTGACAGATCATTTGATGCAGTTTTTCACGCTGAGCCCGAATATGTAGTCACTTTTGTAAAAAAATTACTTATAAGCGGAGAAAAAGATTAAAAACCTCGAAAATCTAAGGGTTTTGGAAAACCTAAATCTCAGCTTAGAATCCTTCGTGCATCTTTGTGCTAGCTTCTGTAGATGTCTTATATATAGAAGTAGAACACCTGAAATTTTCAATTAGTTTGGCGTTTGGAAAAAAATAGAAACCTCGCTTTACTGGACCCACGTTTTCTGAAAATACTTACCGGAGGAAGCACAAATATTTTCTCGGTTCCTTATACTGGGAAAACTCTCTTTTACGAATAGATAGAGTGAGAGATGTAGTTTCGAACTAGATATAATTGTTGAGATTACCGTATTCGGTTCGCGAGAAAGAATATTTCTATATTCATCGGTCTGTTTTTAAAGAAAAATTTCCATAAAGATTTTCTCACTTAAGACGGCACTTAGACAACAACTTCCCGTAGCAATTAAATAAAGCGTATGTTGAAGTAATGACCTGCTACTCAAATCTTGAAATAATGTACTTTCGTGTTTTTCACCTAAAGTCCGCGTGATTGCCCACAGCGAGGTTATCGTAGGGTATGACTAAATTCAGTAATTTTATTCCTCTCGATCTGTAAAAGCAAGAAGAACATTTTTTTTGATAGTTCATTGCACAAAGATTTTTTTGTGCCCGGAATTAAGGCAGATTTGTGCCCGAATTTGATTGATTTGTGCCCGGTTTTAATTAGATTAGGAATAATAATGAGAAAGGTTATTATCACCATTTATTTACTGACGTAGTGTCAGAAACAGACAGAACAGAGAGAATATGTAAACATAACTGCTAAACATCGGACAAGGCATTTCCTACTTTTCTTGGTTTTCCTATTATCATGGTTATGTTTACTAGACGTTGAAACAGCAATTTTTTCATCACTGTAATAGATCACACGAATTTGAAAATCGCATTCCGGATATTTTCTAGCTTAAGTACATCGATATGTTACTTTTTTTCCAAGAGCTATTGTTTCGGTTCGTTTTATTGAAACATTATTTTGTTTTATAAATGATTTCATATCAATGTCATCAGAAACTTTCTCTACAAAATTCCACTCTCTCCAAGCCATAGTTTAAAGTAAGTTTTAGTTGAAAGTTTCTTTCTGAACTGTATAGTACTTTATGCATCTTGTACATAAACATATAGACGTATGTCACAAGCAATATCTGTCAGGATAACTTATGGTCTACCATTCAATTTTCTCGCACACAAACCGGGCACAAATCGATCAAATCCGGGTACATATCTGTCTCCACGCACAAAAGTGTAAAACAACTTTTTTGTACCCGAACCGGGCATAAAAAGTCTTAAGCGGGCACAAATCTGTCTTAATTCCGGATACAAAAACACTTTAAGCCTGGTTCATTCCTTCAGATTCGGTTAGCGCATGATATTTTATAAACAAAACCATACGTTTCTCGATAATGAATTATTCATTAGTTCGAAGGAGGAGAAAATTAATGTGTGACATCAATGCAATTATACTGAGTATAGCAGAAGATAAACTACCTTTCTCATTATGAAAATAAATTATTTTCTAACTAGTATTTGTAAACTTTTTCTCAAGAAAGCTTTGTATTTAACATTTTTTTGTTGATGCGTCAGCATACAGTGTAAGACGCAAAAAAGGAACAGAATTTGGTTTTGTTCGTTCTTTATACATGTACATAGTTTTCTTTCCTTGTACATTGGGATGACATTGGCACTACTTTACTGATGATGTCTTTTGAATAAAGACGAAACGTCTCTTGTTAGAAAATAGTTTATTTTCAAAATGAGAAAGGCGGTTTATCGTTTTTATCTGTACTGAAATTCTTCACCTTAAGACATGTTCGAATGGATATGTTTTGAAACTAAAAATTTTGTTTTCACCCTAAAATACACTTTTATGAGTTGTGAGTTGTGATATTCATAATCAGTATGGTCCACTACATATAAGTAGCTAGAATTTGCATGTAAATTCGAAAAAGATAGTTCAGATGTTCCTGAGAATACTCAAGCAAAAAATGTTTACGTACGAAACCAGTCCTTATTCAAATCAAATGTAGTGTCAGCTAAAACCTGTTGAGTTTTAATTGTTTCACGGAATGGCGTCAAAGTACTGACGCGGAAACATATGGACATGTCTGACTCCGTTCTTAATGATTCGTACCTGGATCGATAGAGTATATCGAGATTGTAAAGTGCTCAAAAAGCATTCGAGCCCATGACTCTTCCTTCGATAGTTATAGGCCTAGTCTTCCGACTGAAAAGTAGCAAAAATGGAAAAAATCATATCACTGTCCACAAGATTAGTAGAGAGTTAAAACTTTTATTCGATGGACCAGTGGTAGTCTACCGTCTAACGCAGTCAGACATGTCCGTATGTTTCCTCGTGAGATGAAAGCTAGAAGTACCTATAGAGAAAAATATTATCAAACAATCAGTTGTGTTTCTAGACTTAATTTTTAATTTTGTTATTGAAACGTCAAAATCAGATGCTGAATCATCATGACTCTACTAGGAAAAACAAATTTCAAATTTGAACGTTTTCCTCATGTTAAAGAACTTTTAATCTAACATTTCAGATTGATAGTGTGTAGAAGACCATATTAACAGAGATTTCATTGAGAATTTTGCGGCGTATCTTTCTTCAATCATCCAAGAGTTACATGGAAAGGAGATATAGATATATGCAAAACACTGAATGAACAATTTCTTCGCAATTTCCTGTAAATGGAATAAAGTCTTCATAGCAATGCTTTATTTAGAATCAGGATGAAAATTTACCATATCAATGATGTTTTCATGAAAAAATTCGACTCATTTTAAAATAGCAGATATATTGGAATTTTGAAAAAATATAAATTCAAGTTT